TAATTCGTTCACCTTCATCCGTTCTTACATTGGTATCTTTTCTGTTTCTGTGACCCCGACTCATATTTTATCTAATTGGTCTTTCACCTTTACATCAGTATATGCTCCCATTGATAGAGATGACAAGGAAGTTTGTTGGTGGGAACTCTCTAGGATTCGTCAGATTTTTAATGGTCCTTGGGTCATTTGTGGTGATTTCAACGCCACTCTATACTCTGAAGAAAGAAATGGTGGTATTGGTTCTTCTAGAGATATTTCTTCCTTCAGAAATTTTGTTTCTTCTTCTTCTCTTATTGACCTTCCCCTATCTGGGCGTTCATTCACTTGGTCTAATAATCGTATCAATCCTGCTATGGCAAGATTAGATAGATTTTTATTATGTTCTGAGTGGGATAGGATACATCCTCTGAGTATTCAGTTTTCCCCTCCTTTTCTTGGATCTGATCATTGTCCTCTAATCCTTGATAGTGGCGGCATTAAACCAAATTCGCCTCTCTTTAGATTTGAAAAGAGTTGGTTCCATAATAAGAATTTTGTTCCTTTTATTCATAACTCTTGGAAATCTTTTAAATGTGAAGGTAATCCTGCTGACATTTTTATTAAGAAGTTGAATCTCTTAAAGAGGAGAATTAAGTGGTGGAAAAAACATATACATGGATCTTTATCATCAAGAAAAGCTGATTTGTTACTTAAAATTAACTCTTTGAGTTTATTGGAAGAAGAAAGAAGTCTGACTCCTGATGAATTGAATGAAAGGAAAAATCTTCAATCTTGTTACATATCTATCATCCAAGAGGAAGAAGTCTATTGGTCTCAAAGGTCTAGGTTACAATGGTTAAGAGAAGGAGATGCTAATACAACTTTCTTTCATAGAACTGCTTCTTTGCATAAGAAATCAAATCATATAGTTAGTATCAACCATTTTGGTCAGGATATCTATGAACAGGAAGAAATCTCCAAGGCTTTTCATGATTATTATTCTAACCTTTTTGGTCAGGTTAACAACAGTTTTTTGTCTGTTGATTGGGAGTGCTTATATCCTGCCAATCTTCCTAATCTTCTATCTCTTGAAGATACCTTTTCTGAATCAGAAATTAAAATTGCTGTTTTTAGCATGAATTCTAATAAGACACCAGGTCCGGATGGATTCTCTTTCCTTTTTTATCAAACCTTCTGGGAGTTAATCAAAACTAATAAGACACCAGGTCCGGATGGATTCTCTTTCCTTTTTTATCAAACCTTCTGGGAGTTAATCAAAAGTGATCTTGTTGATCTTATGAATTTTTTTGGTCAGCATCCTTCAGCCCTCCAGAGAGTTAACAAAGTCTTCATTACTCTCATTCCAAAATCTTCAACCAACCCTACTGTCAGAGATTATAGACCTATCAGTTTGATTAATTGTATTTTCAAGATTTTTACGAAAATCTTAGCTAATAGACTAGCTCCTATCATGAAGGACCTGGTTGCTCCAACTCAGTCTGCATTTCAAGAAGGAAAATCAACTCTTGATTCTGTTTTATTAGCCAATGAAATGATCCATTTCTGTTCTAAAAAGAAAAAAGAAGTGGCTATGTTTAAGATTGATTTTGCTAAAGCCTTTGATTCTATAAGCTGGAACTTCCTAATTAATTTGTTAAAGGCTCGAGGTTTTGGTGAAAAATGGTGTTCCTGGATCTATTACATTATCTCTACATCCACTTGTGCTGTCCTGGTTAATAGATCCCCTTCAAGACCTTTCAAGTGTCGTAGAGGTCTCAAACAAGGAGATCATTTATCTCCTTTGTTATTCAATATAACCGTTGATGTTCTGAACAAAATGATTATGTGTAATGTGGACGAGGGTGTCTTTTCCAGCATGAATGTCAAGGAACCTCTCAACTACATCAGAAGTTTACAATTTGCAGATGACACTCTCATCTTTGTGAAGAGTACATATAAAGACATTTCTGTTTTAAAAGCTCTCTTATATATCTTTGAAGAAATTTCAGGTCTGGCCATTAACTATTATAAGTCATCTCTTATATATTTTGGCAATATAAATTCCAGAGGATCTTTTTTAGCATCTGCTCTCAATTGTAAGCTTGCTAAGCTTCCTATCAAGTACTTGGGTTTACCTCTTAAAGGAGGAAAATTATCTAAATCTGATTGGCAACCTATGTTGGATAATCTGCATAGAAAACTTGCCACATGGAAGAGGAATTGTTTATCTTTTGGTGGAAGGCTTACTTTGTTAAATTCAGTCCTCTCCACAATTCCATTGTATTATATGTCTTTCCACAAGTTACCAGGATGGTTGATCAAAGAAGTGGACAAAATTAGGAAAAATTTTCTATGGACAGGTAACAATCTATCTAAACCCTTCAAATGTTTAGTCAATTGGAAAAGGGTATGCATGAGTAAATCAGAAGGTGGATTGGGAGTGAAAGATTTAAATCTGTTTAATATCTCCTTATTATCTAAGTGGTTATGGAAATGCTTGGACAGAGATTCATTTATAGGTGCTTTCCTTTACCAATTATATGTCAGAAAGGCATCTCCTCTGCAGTTATCTTCCAGAAATTGCCATAATTCTATGGTTTGGAATGATATCATTTCCAACAAAGAAGCTTTCTTTCATCTTATTTCATGGTCTCTAGGACTTGGTTCTAACATAAGATTTTGGGAGGATAAATGGATTGGTAATAATTCTTTATCAAGTCTCTATCCATCTTTATACAGTCTTGCCTTATCCTCTAATGTATCTATTCGTAGTCAAGGGTACCTCCACAATAACATATGGCACTGGCATCCTATTTTAAGAAGAAGCATTTCTCCAGATTCACATATAGCTAAAACTGATCTTATTCTTCTTCTTGCTTCCTTCAGAGTGAGAAATGAAAATGATATCCCTAAATGGTCTCTTTCATCTAATGGTTGCTTTTCAGTTAAGTCATTCTATGACTTTTTAAACTTCAGAGGTGTTTCATTTGCTTTCTTCAAGGTTGTATGGAATCCAATCTTACCTAGCAAAGTTCAGATTTTCACTTGGCTTCTATCCTTGAATCGTCTACATACTAAGGACAATTTAATTAAGAAAGGTTGGCAAGGTGAAACCTCATGTATCTTATGTGGAATATACCCTGAAACTTGCAACCATATCTTCTTTTCATGCAACATTGCAAAATCAATTTGGAAACATTTTAGTGATTACTGGTTACCTTTCGTCTGGCCTTCATCACTTGATGGACTATTGTCATCAGTTAATTCGCTTCATAATAAGGAAGGTCTTATTTGGCGAACTATCTTCTCTGCGGCATGTTGGTTCATTTGGTGTTCAAGAAACAAGTTCATTTTGAGCAAATACCTTTTTCTGCCCATTCAATAATTAACTCTACTATTGTTGCTTTACATGAATGAGCAGGTGCTGGTATCAAAAAGAGAGCTCTCATGTTGGCAAGTGCTTTGGAGGAAAATCCGATTAGAAGGAGCAGTGGTTAACATCTCTTTTTGGTTCAGAGAGTTTTGGTTCCTAAGTACTTTTGTAGTCAGCTTTTTTGGTGTTTCTGGTGCTTTTAAATTAGTTTATAGAAGTTTTAATTTCCTTATCCTATATGTATGGCCGGCTTTGGTTCTCTTTTATATCTATGTCAACGTTGAATGACGTCAAGGACCGCTCTTTAACTTCATGGATATTTAAGAGAAGAAGGTTATACATCTCTAGATTGGGAAATTACTATTTCTATCTACTAATTTCTTTATAAGGATACAGTTCGTATCCTTCTTTTGTAAAGATATTTGTTTATTAATATTAATGAACAGGGTATATCCCTTGTTTTTATCGTCAAAAAAAAAGACTCCAGTGTTTGTTCAGGTGCATTGCTTAGGGCTTATGGAATGCATCCAGATGTAAAGATTGCAGAGTTAGCAGCTAGATCTCATTTTGAGCTGGATTGTAAGAATCTGGGACGCTACATTCTAAGAACTCAGGAGCTTGTCGAATGTTTTACACATCTTTGGGCAAGATCGACAAAGCCTAAATCTGATGTGATTTATAAGGAGCTTGAGATGTTGATGCTAGGATTAAAGCAGCAGGGTATGTGCCAAACACTAAAATCTGTGTTGCATGATGTGGAAGAGGAGGTGAAGGAGAGCTCGTTATATCTCCACTGTGAGAAGCTTGCAAATGTGTTTGGGATTATGAACTCAGAACCTGAGAGTGAGATTAGGGTTCACAAGAATATGTGGGTTTGTGGTGATTGTGACACTGCTGCCAAGTTCATCCCTAAAGTGATGGGGAGTGTTTTTGTAGGGATTATTGGTGCTTGCTATGAGAAGCTTATCATTTATCAATTTTAGCACCATTTAAGTTGAAACAGTGCATCACATCACAGAGGGATGTCTCCCAATAAAAAAATTGTTTTAAAATCTTAACAATTGGTTGTAGTCCCTCCATCATGGATTGGTTCCCAAATATATAGCATTACAGATTCTTTTCCTACCTGAGATATTCTACTGAGATTTACTACATGCTGAAGTGCACAATGATTTAAAGGTGAGTTTTACCTCTGACTCCATTGCAAGCTGATTTTGCATTTGCGAGTTTTTACTGCATAATAGGCTCTGCTTTGAGTTGTTTAGAGGGTAGCAGATCACTAGGGTTAAACGCTTCAAAATAATGAAATTTTGTCAGTGAGTGCCATCTTTCTCCAGTATTTTTCCTGCAGGGTTTTCCTCGTTAAAAAGTACTTGTGTTCTTATGGTTGATTTGTGATTGGTTTGCTTTAGCTGTTCATTAATTATCTATTATTGCCATATTCTCGCAGTCGTTAATTGAGGGGGTATCGTCTCCGTCTTATTGTCAGATCAAAGCTAAAAGGACCTGTTTAATAGAAGATAAGATAGATATGGAGTAAATTTCACATAACCCTTCTGAACTTTGTGTTTCCAGTTTCAAATTCTTAGGACTTTCTAATTTAATATGAAACCAGTTTGATACTATACACTGTTAACAAATTTGGAAGGAAGGAAAAAAAAATTCAGGTTAGAGCGTAAATCTCTCTGCAAATGCTACTACAACTCTGTAACAAAGAATAAATCTCAAATGAGCAAGGATGAGATCTATCACCTGCCAAAAATCTATGAACTCCACTTTCAATCTCAATCCAACTATAACCAGGCTGCTTTACAATCCCTGACCTATGCATCGAATCCATCACTTTCAGAGCATCATCCCACCTACTTTCATCCGCATGAGCATTATACAACATCACATAGGCAGCCGACCCCTCCGGCTCCACCTTTGCCAGGGCCTCTGCAGCCACCTTTGCCACCCTCGCATCGCTATGAACCCTGGCAGCATTGAGCAACGCCCCCCACACCGACTTCTCAGGGGGCACCGTCATTTCCTCAATCACTCTCATCGCCTCCTCCAGCTGTCCGTGCCTCCCCATGAGGTCCACGAGCAAAGCGTAATGCTCTACTCCAGGGGTAAGTCCGAATTCTTGAACCATTGAATCGAATTGTCTCCTCCCCTCGTCCACCAGCCCAGTGTGACCGCAGGCATTCAAAACCGAGATGAACGTTATATATGTCGGCCTAACCTTCACTCTCTTCATCACTCTGAAGAGCTCAAGAGCTTCTCTGGCATGCCCGTGGCGAGCCAATCCTCCGATCATCGCGTTCCATGACACAACATCCCTCTTCTGTTCTGCAATCTCGACAAACACATCCTTGGCATGCATCACAGCACCGCAACGAGAATACATTGTGATAAGCGCGTTGCTAATGGTAACATCGGGCACTATCCTTTTTGACACAAGCTGATGGATTTGGATACCCAGACGAAAGGAAGCTAGCCCAGAACAAACACTGAGCACTGATGAGAGAGTATGCTTGTCGGGTCGTCGCCCAACCTTTTGCATTCGGGAAAAGAGAATGATGGCAGCTTCATACTCCCCGTTCTTTTCATAACCAGCGATCATCGCATTCCAAGAAACGACACTCTTGCAAGGCATTCTCTCGAAAAAATCTTGTGCCCGACTCAACTCTCCTTTTCGAGTTAACCCGCATATGATCATATTCCAAGACCAAGAATCGGGCTCGTGCAATTTCTCGAACAGGCTAACCGCTTCGTCCATCTCTTTTGCCTGAACATACCCGTTTATCATCGTGTTCCAAGAAAAGATATCTCTGACACTCATCCCTTCGAACAGTTCCCTCGCCGACACGAGATCTCCGCTCTTCACATAACACATCATCATGGTATTCCAAGTGATCAGGTTCTTTTTAAACCTCGGCGACGTTCTGGGTATCAAGTAGAACAGCGTCCTCGCCTCCTCAACCATTTTACGTTTTCCATACTCCGCGATTAACGTATTGTAAGCATCTATGGCACCGTCGATCCCAACACTGAACCTGATCAAGATTTCTTCGGCTTCCTTCAAATTCCCGCTATTGACCAGTCCCTTAACAACTGTGCACAAGGAACCCGCATCTCTAACCGGCATTCTCCCGAACAGCTCCATCGCTCTCGCAGCATCCCCGACATTGAAGAACCCGTTGATTACCGCGTTCCAAGTGACGACGTCTCTCCTCGCATCGGGCATGCTCTCGAACAATGCCATCGCCTCTTCCATCATCTTATTCCCGACGTACCCACCGACCATGGTGTTCCAAGAGATCGTGTCTCTAACAGGCATCGCGTCGAACAGCCTGCGTCCCTCGCCGAGCTCTTCGGGGACGCCGGAGAGGGCGTAGCCGGAGAGCATGGCGTTGTAGGAGGCGACGTCTCTTTGGGGCATAACGTCGAACATGAGTGGCCCGGCGCCGCGCGGCGGAGGTCTCGCGGCTGGACGAGGCCGGAGATGAGGTGGATGGGTGTAGGGAGCTGGTAGTGGTCGGGGCTGAGGAGGCAGGTGAGTCGAAGAAAGCGCTGGGCTTTGTCGAGCTGGCCGCCTGGCGGTATGAACTGGGACCTAGGGATTTGCTGTGGGCTGGTCTTCGTGGCGGCCAGGAGAGGGATCGCGACGGGGAGGCTTGACGCCGGACCGCGATGGGGACGGGAGGCAAGCCCGCCCTATCAAGTCCTTTCATAATTGTTCAAATGAGAGACCGTTGAGACTGATTTTACATTTTTACCCCACCCAACATAAGCAACTGCGGAGGTATTAAAACATGTAAAATTGTCATATTTTCCAAAAAAAAAAAATAATGATCATGCGGATCCAATGTGACTACGTATCCTATAAGAATTCATTCTCATATGCGACGAATGGTTTTCAGCCGACATTAGGTGGGTAAATTTTCCGTTCCCCCATTTGCTGACTCGCATGCTCAAACCAGTCCGTGATGAGGCGAGTTCTACTACTCACGTTATAAGAAGTAGGTACCACCACTTGTTTCACCAAACACCGCTTTATGTCTTTTGGTAAGTCACTTCTTGTTAAATCAGCGGTTGCTTCGTACACCTATCAAAATCCCCCTACGAAATGTCTTTCCTTTTAGGGCCTGTTTGGCTATTTCCACAAAAAATTCGGAAATGGAAATATAGCTCTTGAAATGAATTCAAGACATTTCAAGACATTTCTTAGTTTTCATTTCTTTTGTTTGTTTCGCAAAGAAAATGTTCATTTTCACTGCCAAGTCACATAAACAGACAAAAAAAGTCTCCATAGTAACAGTGCTTTGATTTCTATTTCTTGTGTTTGTTTGAGAACAAGAAAAAGGAGATGAGAAATGTGGTATTTAAATATTTCATTTTATTCTTTTGAACTATTCAAACAGTGCTTTTATTAATTAACTATTCTCAGATGGGACATTTCCAAGTGTTTTCAGCCCAATTTGGGCTGAAAACACATTTCTTGAAAAATTGAGGTGGCAACACATGTGGCACTTCATTTCTTAAAAATTAAAGACGAAGCAAACACATGAAATGGAAACCTCTTGAAATCAAAAACCTATGTGGCACATGGGGGTTTTCTTAAAAGGTGAGGTGGCGGGACATTTCTCATTTTTTTGAGCAAAACAAACAGGCCTTTACTCTGCTTCGGTTTCCTTCTCTCTCTCTCTCTTTTTCCCCGCTTTAGGGTCGGTTTGGTTTGACAAAGCTATCATAAGTATGAAATAAATCAAAAATATAACTTTTAAATTTATGAATTAGGTAAGCAGTGAAAGTAATTTTTTTTTTGTTTGCTTTATATATATTTTTGAAACAGTCAAAATTGTACTTCTTATTCTTCCTTTTTTTGTCCGTTATTAGGAAGTAATTAATAAAAAAATATCAATAAGGAAAATTATTTATTTCCTAATGAATACACTTCTCACCTATTTCTAGGCTACTTCAGAACCTCGACGGTTGATAAAATATCTAAAAAGTAAGAGCATCTCCAAGGGGCCGGAAAAATCCGGCCCCTTAGCTAGATTAAGGGAGAATGAAAGGGAAGGTGCTCCAAGGGGCCGGAAAACTTTCCCCTTCACCCCAAACCCCTTAACTCCCTCCCCAAATTAAGGGGAAGGTTAAAGTCCCTTAACCTTCCCCTTATAATTTTATATTAATATTTTCTTTTTAAATAAAGTTAATGTATAGTTAATTAAATTTAGTTAATATATAGTTAATGTATAATTAATACTTTTAACATGATTTATATAAATTAATTATTATATAAATTAATTATTTATTAAATTTTAATATGATTAATTAATTTAATAATTATATAAGATAATTTCTTACTTTAAATTAATTATTTATTTAATTTTAGTTATTAATATTTAATTATTTATTCATTTATAAATAAACCATATATTTAATTAAATTTTAATCTATAAAATTAAAACACTAAATATGAATAATTAAGGGGTAAGAGGACTTTTAAGGGGGAACCATTGGAGGAGAACTTCCCACTCCCTTAAAACTCCCCCTAGATTAAGGGACATTGTAAGGATCCCTTGGAGATGCTCTAACGATGTCATCATTTTAAGAAAGTATTAAAAATAAAGTTTTCTCGTTACTTATCAACGATCAAACTTATTTATTTTTACATCTCAGCCCTCAAAATTTCCTTAAATCACAGCCAAACGTGGCAGGTTCCGACCGAAGATACTCCCCAAGGGGCGCCGAAGTATTAAAAAATGCAAGGCCCCCGTGGGGACAAAACTGACCTAACGGCGTTAGTAGATCCGACGGAAATCAGCAACCCCCAGCTAACGGACGTTATCCTGGGCCCTCAGAGTCTCGCCTCGCGTTACCAAAATTTATGTACCTAAAATATTTCGATTTCAGTTCATTCTCATGCTGGACCAGAAAAAAGGCAAGCTTCCCCCCCCTTTACTCGTTGAATCTTCTTTTGCAGAATTATACCCTCGTTTGAATTTGTAGAAACTTTTCTGATTTTTAATGAAAATGGCGGGTTTAGGCTGATCTAGGGTTTGCTTTGGTTTCTATAATCACTGTTTGCTTGTTGGATTTATGGAAGCTTAGGGCTTTTATAAGAGAAGCGAAGGATTTGCCCTTTGTTCCTTCAGCTAAAGAAAAGACTTCCTCTCTCGTTTCATGCTTATGTGATGGTGGTTTAGACTATATGCTGGTATTTTTTTTAACGAATGTTAGGTGATTAGAGGAATTCTGGTGGTAATAGTTTTCTGAAGGGAGAAACTTTGGCTAACAGGAGACCAGCTAATGTTGTATGTGAAGAAAGGAGGGAAATGTTTCGGGGGTTTTGCAAAGGGATTTCTTGCTTGGATTTTAGGAGGAAATTTAGTGTTTTTTTTTTGATAAAATTTGTGTTTTTCTATTAGTCATTAGAATTTTTTATAGTTCTTCAGAATTGAGGTCAGAGGTGTATTCATTTCGAGGGGTATGTCGACCATATTTAGCTGATTGGAGGAATTATGTTGCTAGAACTCTTAATTGATGATTACTTCAGTTCGGGAAAACCACTTGGCCTGTCTTTTAGAAATTTTCCATTTTGATGAATACATTCGATGTTTGTAAAATTTTGGTTTCCTTTAACATGGATGGTTATACCAAAATCTAGGTGATCTTGTTCATCAGAGCAAGGTGAATTGAAATCTTGATACTATACTAGCTAGCTGCTTTCTGAAAATGTTTTAGCACATATGCGTAGACATACGCACACACATACACATCTATGTCTCTGTGTATAGGTGTAAAATTTCTGAGGAAAACAACAGGAGCAACATAAATAGATACACATAAGAAAGGAAGCGAAAGAAGGGGGGAAATGGAAAACCACCCTTCTGTCCTTAGCGCTTCTGGGAACAGTTTATTTGGGGTTGAATTTGTGAGGTTTATTTTAAAAGGTTCTGATAGGTTAAGGCTTCTGTTGTCAGAGAAAAAGGACTGCTGCTTTTATTTCCTCTTCTAAGCTTTGATTGAAGAATTAGTGCCAGTACTGAATTGGTTCTTGCAGGAAGCCAGATCAGATTGTTGTATCGCAGAAACGCAACTAGTTAAAAGTTGTTCTTGTGCTATAGCTGTCTAAAAGATATCTTTTGGCAATGGGAGATCACCTGGTATTGTATGTGGATCGTCTTGTAACCCCACAGACTGTTGAAACGTTACAAACAGCTGCTTATTCTGAGAGTTGTAACACGTTAAAAACTTCTGGAGAACCTTCGCATGCTGTTGTTCCCTCTGTTCCAGCACCATCAACGGAGAGTTGTAACACTAATGATGATAAGGAAGAAAATATCGGTAGTTCTGAGGAGGAAAACCCGCTCATTCAGATGGTAGAATGTAGGATATGCCAGGAGGAAGATCACATTAAAAACCTGGAGACTCCTTGTGCTTGTAGTGGCAGTCTGAAGGTATACCCCTTAAACTTTAATCCTTAATAAAACAGATAAGTACTTAATATTCTATTTTGTTCTCGTTGCTTCTTTTGGCAGTTTTAGGTTTCTTATAGTTCTGTGGTTACTTATGTGATGATCTCATCTGAGATTTTCTACTTGTGTTGCTCATGGCTAATGATCTTACATTTGAGAGTTCTTCTCTATCAATGTTGATGGTGGCTAATCCTTCCCGGTCTTCTGACCCTAGGAGCAGAATGCTCATGCCAAGAAATATAGGGGAAAATTGCTTTGGACCACCTATGGTTTTGAGTAAGTTAGATTATTGCTTAGAATGACATGAATTACAAATGTAGTAGGAAAAATATCTATTGCTAATGGACTTCTGCAGCCTAGGTTAGGATCCATGAACCATGATAAGGTGTCCCATATCAATGCACAAGACATGATTAAGGCTAAAGGAACAAGGTGAATTAATTTAAATCTTCTAATAACTAATGTTCTATTTGAAATGTTATTGTAGTTAGCAGAACTTTTGTCATACATGTGTTTTTATTTAAAACAACTTTTTAACATTATGTGGTTCATAATAAAGAAGGCTATCCCTATCTTCTTTACCATTTAATCTCCTTTCCATTTTAGTTTGGCGGGATTTGGCAGGCTGGACCCAGTAAATTCAAAGAACATTTTTATAGTCACTCAGGTTAAAGGATCACTCACTATCTGCACTTCTTGAAGTCACTCCTCGATAACGAATTCACCATGTCAAGAACTGTTTCTTGGAAGGTGATGATTTAGAGTATAGAATCCTTTTCCCCTTATATTATTCTTGGGGAGAGATTATTAGAGTATATGTTTATGTTGTATGGTATTTAAGATCTTCATAGTTAAATTTATATGCGTTGCTATTATTCTTTTAGGGGGTGTTTGTTTCACCAAAATTTTTGGCATTTGGTATGAATTACAAGTTTTTGGATCAAAAAGTGAGTTTTTTGTATTTTGGGATTCCATATATGGTGTTTGTTTTAAGAAATTTTTTAGAATATTGAATCCCAAAAGTACAAAAAGTGTCCAATTTTTAGAATTTGCCAATTGAGAGGATTTTGACAAATCCCATAAATGAGTGTGCTTCCCTCTCAATTGGAGAGGATTTGACAAATCCCAATTTTGTCTTTTTGTGGGAGGTAATCTCACCAAGATAGCATATTCATCATATTACAAAATTTTGGCATTTGGTAATGCTACAATTTGAGCTTGAAACAAACAAAATATTACAAATTGTAGTATTCCAAATCCCAAAATATTAATGAAACAAACAACATTTTAGAAATCCCAACTCATAACATAACACCTATGGATTTTAAATCTCATAGTGAAATCCATATCCTAAAATTATAGAATTTGAAACAAACACCCCCTTATTCAATGACTTATGAGAACCAGTAAACTGGTCTATTTGTCTAGTTGTTATATATGACATTATATATGACACAACCTTTATTTGGTTAGATGTAATCTGAGATTCTGTTGGTCATTTAAATTATATAGATTTATATAGATTATGCATTTAGTTTCTCTGTCGTTTATTTAAAGATGTATCCTGTTTGATAATTAATAGTGGTGGATGATGTTGTTAATAAATTGATTGACAGTATGCTCATAGGGCATGTGTCCAGCGCTGGTGCAATGAGAAAGGAGATATAATCTGTGAGATCTGCCACGAGGTAAATCTTAATTTGGGTTTCCTGCTAATATTTTCACCCTAACTTTCTTCGTACTTATGATATATCTTACCCAAGAGTGCATAAATTGGTATTTGTCATAACTAGTAGGTAATTTTTACAATTTTCAGGCATACAAGCATAACTATACAGCACTTCCACAACCTAATCCAGATGAAACAACAATTGATATTAGGTATATATGTATAGTTCCTTTCTTAGTTTATACTTGCAGTTCATATGTTGGGTAAATTTTATCTACTATGGTTGAGATTCAACTGCCTTCTTTGATTGTATTTTTAAATATCTGCTTTGGTTGTATCTTCACAGTGGAGGTTGGACTGTCACTGGTACTCCATTGGATTTGCATGATCCACGGATCCTTGCTATGGCGGCAGCACAACGCCATATTCTTGAAGCTGAATATGATGAGTATGCTTCTACAAATGCCAGTGGTGCTGCATTTTGCCGCTCAGTCGCTCTAATTGTGAGCCATTTTTTCATTTCTATACTGTTTAATTAATTTTACATTGAGGCGTAAATCATGAAGTTTAAAGTATCAAAACTCTAGTACTTATTTTTTTATGCGTATCTGTTTAGTATCCTTAGGAAATTGAATCATTCTTTAATTAAACTATTCACAATATGTCGCATTTGCTGCTTATGCCCTCTTATGCACAAGTTAATTTAATCCTCTCAACTGTTATTCCGTATGGTTAATGTTGTTTGCACAATTATTTGTCAGCTGCATAGCACACTCCTTTGGTTAGTCTGAGAGTGAAACTTGTAAAGGGTCAAGAAGCTAAAGTGAGGACCACTCCAGCAGCATTGCCATTCTATTCAGTATATTTATCAGCTTCCATAACAGCAGGCAGCGATTTAATTTTTGCTCTTATTTCATAGTTTATCACATATAATCAGTTATAATCTACATCAAGACCTGTGTATACATGCGCACGCGCACACACACATGCACGCGTATACATATGTATATTTGTGTGTGTAGGTTAAATTATTTGACGACATTCCAATTTTTTTCCATTTCAGCATATTCCAAGAACTTGTAACCAAGCTTATCACATAACTGCCAGGATTGTATTCAAATCTGGGTTGAACAGTACCTGCGGCTCTCAAAACATTCCAAATGAGCTTTTAAGCCCCTCATGTATTTGTAACAATTCTACTTGGTTAGTATAAGTAAGCTATGGCTGTTCCCTAAAAAAAGAAAAAGACGACATTGGAGGCTGTTGAACAATAGATTAACTTAATGTATGTGGTTATGATATATGTATTCGTATGCGTATATTTGTGTATGAGGTTAATGGGTATCATAGGTCATGAGGGGATTCCCTCATATACCTCATATACAGTGATGTGACACAATCTCAAGCAAGTGTTATTACGAGGATCTCACTCTTTTATCACTTGGTTGAAACTGAGCCACATCATTCTTATATGAGGGTATCCCCTTGTATCACTAGATTGAGCTGCATCATTATCATAGGTTAAAATATATATTTGACGAATGCGGATACGATATAAATACATTATGGATTGCTAATGTGTTTCTTATTGTTCGTATGTGTTATCAATGATGGACCTCTACTTTAGTACTTCCTTGAACTTACTATATTTACAGGTTTATTTCTTTTGTTATAAAATAAATATTTGTATGAGACAATAAGAGGCATGGCCTCGCTAATCATTCTCTACAAAGTTCCACTGTTTTTTGTGAATTGTTCATGTATTAATGAATAATGTTCTTTATTTTTATGGACTCTGAAGTTTTTATCTTTTCTTTCTCTTTTTTTTGGGTGGGGTGTGAGTTCCAAATTTAATCTAATTCATATAGTTTTTAAAAGTTTTCTTTATGATCACTTAAGATTTTCTCTCACCAGCACAAAACCTTTTCTTTTTCCTATCCTTTGACGTGGTGGTAACTTAATTGATCTGTTTAATGTTTCCCTTTTCCAGCTAATGGCTCTCTTGCTGTTGAGGCATGCCTTGACCATTTCTGATGGTGATGGAGATGACGATGCCTCTGCATACTTTTCTGTAATATCCATCACGATGAAAATTGTAGTCTTTCAATTCAATATTTCATGGTGTTTTCCTTGTTGTGTTTTTATAAAAAAACATTATGGTGTTGTGTTTTTTCCTTAAAATGTTTTCAAAACACCATGCTAAGTATTTTTAGTCAACACTAGTTTAACTCATTATAACATTAGTATTAAACATATTATTAATATATTATATATTAATTACAATAAAATATATTGTAAATAAAATGTTATAATATTTTGTTTATATTATTATAGTATTATAAGTATTAAATGTAATGTAATATAATATTTTATAATGTATTATAATATTATATTGTATTTTAATGAGTTAAATTATATTATAATTATTACATATTATTTTTAAATAATTATATATTTAATTATTTTGGTATATCAATTTGTTATTGTTGTACATTATATTAATATTTTTAAAAAAATGTTATTTTATTATTAATATAATATTATAATATTATTAATATAATATTATATTATTCATATAATATAATATTATTAATAATGTTAATATTATGTTATTACTAGTATGTTATTAATAAATTAATATATTATAAATATTTTAATATTATATAATATATTATAGTTTTTAATATGT